CTCCTCATATTTATGTAATTAAGTGTTTTAATGATTTGGCCGATTAATCAAAAAAAATTATCGTTAGTTGCTGCCCTAATTAAAATAATTGGTAACATTTATTTTTTTAAATATTCACATGCAGACCTTCCCCTTTAACATCTCTTCCTGTTATTTCACATGTAAATTTCTCAACAACTGTCCATCTGAGCCATGTGACGTTTGTTTTGTAAWATGTTCATAATGTTGTCTTTCCAAAAATGCGTTCACTTTTCTTACAATAAACTTGATGTCACAGGCACTTTAAGGTTTCATCTTCAGCAAGTTGGGGTTGAGACCCCACTGTGGGTCTTAAAACTCCAAATGTTGAGTTGTTAGAGGATTTCCAGAAATTAAATTAAGTTAAAACTGACTGCTCAGATTTTTTCTGCTATAGTTAGATATGGATAAAAACGTTTGTTCTGTTAGAAATATTTGAATACTTCAACCAAATATACTTTGATTCATGAGTTTCTGACTGTTTTTTTTTTCTTCAATTTAATTTCACTTGGCATTAAAAAGTCTTAAATTTAACTTTCCTTAAACTGTAGGAACCCTGCTATCAAACTACTCAGTTTCCACATGTAAGCAAATAACCTGGTTTTAGTTTCAGGTTACCAGCAGGAAGATGTCATTTTGGTATCAGAACCGTGCCAACACGTGTAACTGTGTGACAYCCTCTTTCACAGGTTTGCGTACTCGATCTGAGGAAATGACACTGGTGTGGGGGAGCCACGGACCGACTGCGAATGTGTACATAGCCAAACGACTGTCGCTGCCTGTCCGCCACACTGCTGTCATCCTGTCAGACTCCATGGCCCACGTGTCCTCACGTAAACACCGGACCACACACGACTCACACGACAGGTCTGCGTGGACGTTTTCAAAAACATGTTTCCACCACCATCAGAAGCAAACCAAAACTCCAGGATTCTCTTTGCTGTCCTCTTTCAGTCATGCATTGGATTTGTAAAGATTTGTTTTTTTTGTTCTTGGTTGGCGTGTGCATATTGCACATGTCAGCGCTCGGTGTCCTGTGGACATTTTATTAATCTCTACTGGATTTTTATTACACGTGGGACGGGAGGGAACAGCGAGGGCTTGTTTTCTTTTTAAACAGATATTCAGACGTGTTCATTAAATCTATTTAATACTTGGATGCTCTCTTCAAGGCCAAAAAAAAAGATTTACAGCTTGGAAGAAGAGGTGATTTAGTTTTGTCAACTCTATTTTTATCTAATAAATTTGTTCCATTGTGACTCCTTTTTTTTAAACAGTTAATCGAGGTGGTCAAAACAAAATTCCTACCAGAGTTAAAGTGTAACATTAAAAGTTGTTTCTCAGTGGGCTGCCACCTGCCACAGACTGTCAGCCTCACAGGAGAGCTGCGAACTCAAAACTGAAACGGTTACAAGACGCCTGCAGTTTGAACAGATTCTATAAACGTGTTGGAACTCAAGAGAGACTGAGACGTGAAAGAACCTCTGGATATTTGAAAGCTGGTCCCAGCCCAGTGAGAGACCACCTTACGAGTTTTTCCCTCCCAAGGCCTTCCAGGGATGAGCTGGACCAGCAGCAGAGCCTGCTCTCTGGAGCTGAAGCCAATCTGAAGAATATTTAAAAACTCACTTTATTTCTCTGCATAAATAAAGATAAAATATGTAGTTTTAATCTGAAATAATCTGAGTAATCCCTGCAGGTTGTAGATGAAGCGGGTCAGGGTGAAGCCATTACGATCATTGTCAGGTTTTTACCCAGCTGGTGTTTGAGGAGCTTCAGATCCATAGACTTAATTCTGAAATTAGAATCAAACAGGACAGAGGCTTTTAATRGATCTGGTTGAGGAAAACCAAACTGGAACCATCTCTGGTGCCAGTCCTGGTCTAAAACTGAGACCCGTTAGGTGGAAAACCACCCCGCCTTTGCTGTTGATGTGCTGCTGAACTTCACGTGTCTGAATGATGTGCTTTTGTTTCAGACGCAACATCAAACATCATACCTGTAGGTGTTTTTTCTGGCCAATTGATAAATCAGTCTGATTTCCTGTCTGTGGTCTTTACCCATACCTTCGATCAACATCCTTTCTCGTCACCGCTCTGAAGTGACAGACTTCCTGCAAATGTTTGCAGTTTTTCTCTTCTACCCCCCCACAGCCCAGCGCTGCTGCTGTTCAGGCAGTTCCTCCTCGTCAACACAATGATGGGCTGCGCTCATGCCCAGATGTTTGTCACCTTCAGGAGTCTGTGCTCGGTAGAACGATATTTGATGTAACCGCAAAATAAGCATACAATACTATATATATATATTCATATATATATTACACCGTTTCACTTATGAAGTATGCGGAACGGTTTTATAAAATACCATTAAACAGTCATAGCCAAATACGAAACGGAACAGCGTTTAAAGAGTTTGATTTTGGCGCTTCAGCCTAATATAGTGAARAGTTCATCCAAGCCAGCTGATGAAGATGAAGGTGCGCATCAGGGTGACGTGTTTGCCTCCTTTAGTTCATCAGATAACGGGTTCCATGATGACGTGTCACGTTGCATTCAAAACATTTTTACAGAAAAAAAACAAAAAAATTTTGTACTAAAGATGACAAACTATGCTTTAATTCAGTCAGCTGATCTAAAAACATGTCTATGACAGTGGAATGGTATTTTATATCTGTTTTTAGAAAAGAGCTTTTTTCTTTTTTATTTTCGGGGTTGGGGCAGGGGCGGTTTGTTCTAAATGTCGACTCTTATCTTTGCTACGATGGAAAGCCCTTGAAGGTTTTGTACTTAATAAAAGTTTTGTAATTTTGATTCATTTGTAGCTGCGTACTCTAAATGAACAAAAACTACCGGATGAATTTAATTGTTGGTGTGTTATAATACAAASCATGTAAATACCAATTTTCAAAAAAAAATTGTTTTTTTTTTTTTCCCCTGCAATGTGTTGTATTCTCACGCTTGTGGTTGCTTTCTGCAGCCTCCAGATCAGACTGTTGGATTATCATTCAGATATCAAGGTCTAAATAAAATCTATTTTGATAATAGCTGTGTGTTTGCTGCTTTCGGTTTCTTTTTTACTTCAAGAATTTTGAACAAAAATTTAGTCAGAATTTTATCTTTGTGAAGGAAAAACATTGATTTATCATTTAGATCAAAATGTACACAGTAAAAACCAGAGTTAAAATGTTAAACTTTTCAGTTCATTTAACACCCCCAGAGTTATTTTTACAACTGACTGCCAGTGTAGGTGTTAATTCAGTGTTGAYTTCCTCAGTGTTGTCTCAACACTGAATAGTGTTAATAAGCCCCGCCCACTGTTAAGTGTTATATAACAATTAACAGTGTTATATGACACCATGCAGAGTTGAAAGCAGTATTCTGAAAAAGCCCCGCCCTCTTCCACCTCATGTCAGACACCAGTATTTTCACAGCGAGGAATGCTGGGTAATCTTGTAGAAATGATGTGTTTGTATGTTTATGACTATTAAAGAAGTTCATGAGAGTAAAAATTAGTTATAGTAACTCGGACACAGTATTAAATCTAACTCTTTAAGTGTTGATTTAATGCGGCAAAATTTTACCATAAGTGAAATCTAAAAATTTGGTGGCATTTCAGGAAAATAACTCAAACCCTTAAAACCATTTCTCTTCATCTTAACTGAGATAACTGTACTCGATCAGAGATGAAGTGACATTTTCTCAGTTTTTTTCCCCAGAGTCACTGGTGTCTGCAGCTCACTGGTGTCCCACTGGGACTCATCCAGGAGAAGAGTCTAATGATGGGAGAGACCCAGAACCTGTTCAGGACAGTGTGCAAGTACAACATAAATGTAAAAATATTTGATACATTGCACCAGATTTAGCCAAATACAGCAATACATTAGCCTGGTTTAAGCCAGACGCTTTGCTTCATACAAAGGTCTGGACTCTCAGCTATAGAGAAGTGATTCTTGCTGGAGGCGTGGCCTCTGTTGAAGTTTAAAATGATTGGATCGGTTGGCCGTGACGTACAGCGGGTAAAATAAGTATTGAACACATCACCATTTTTCTCAGTAAATATATAATGACATGAAATTTTCACCAGATGTTGGTAACAACCCAAGTGATCCATACATACAAATAAATCAAACCATAAATGTCCAGAAAWGAAGTTATTTGTAATAATGTGGAATGGCACAGGGGAAAAGTATTGAACACACTTACTGAAATTTATCTAAAACTTTGTACAAAAGCCTTTGTTGTCAATTTAATTTGGAAGTTTTATCAACACAGACTGGCTTCATTCACTTCCTCCACTGCCATTGCTAAACTAACTAGAAGACACTGCGCAGAAAATGGACGTCGTTCAAAACTCGTCTTCTGTTCTCTGATTGGCCCGGACGATAATTCTCCTGAAGAAATCCTTGTCTATGGGAGAACTGCCAGACGGAGCAGAGAAGGGAAACTAGAATGAGCAGAACTGTGTAGGAAGTCAAGGRCCAGGCTAGCAATATATAAAACCTTCAACATCAACAAAACAAGGCAAACAGATTTCAGCAACAAGACAATTCAAAGTGAAAGCATAAACAAAATTGTTACATTGACAAAAGAAAGATTTGACCACAGATTGAAGTTAATGTTTCAGTTAATATTTTAATTAAATAAATACATAGCCTAAATGTTTTTTTTTTTACCTTGATTAAAAAGTTTCCTCATTCTTACAGTTTTCTGGGAGTTTGTTCCTGATTAGTGGAGCATAAAAACTGAACACTGCCTCTTTGTTTGATTTTGATTCCAGGAGAATGGACTTGAACCAGAAGACTTGTCACCCGAGTAGTCTTGAAGATTGTTACAAAGATGACAAATCATTCAGTGATTTATAACATATGAAGTATTTAATTCTTTGAGATACGGGGAGCCAGTGTAAGGACTGGGAGCTGCAGCTGTCTGTTGAAATTTTTAGTGTGAAGACACTGTTACAGTAATCAGTTCCACTGAAGATAAATGAAGGAGTCAARATTCTGCTGGGACTTTAATCCTTGAATCCTGGAAATGTTCTTCTTCTGTTTTCATGTGTTTCTGACTCAGGTCAGAGTCCATCACTATACACCCACATTTCCAGCCTGATCAGTAGTTTCAGGATATAAGAACTGAAGCTGTGTGCTGACTTTTCATCGCTCCTCCTTTGRTCCAAAAATAATTATTTCAGTTTTATTTTTATTCAACTGACAGTTATGTCATATCCACTCATTGATTTGTTCTCTGCACCATCTCAAACTTTGATTAGGTTCATGGTCATCTGGTGACAGTAACGTCGAGCTGTGTGTCATCTATCTTGTCTTGTGTGTCATCTATCTTGTCTTTTATCTTGTTATAATCCAAGTTAGAGAGAACATGTACGTAGATGGTGGTTGTGTCTCAATTCATGGCTTGCAGCCCACGTCGGACGCATTTGTCAGCTGCTTACATCACTGCTCCACGCTGTAGGCTGTCCCAATTCGTAGGCATCATGCGGCCGACAAAACCCCGAAAATGTAGGCTGTATCTGAGTGTCCTACATGGCCGACAGTATCCCAGAATTCATTGCACTGTCAGCAAATTAAACATAAAAACAAAAAATGGAAAAGTTTTTTAATACTTATATAATTTTATGGTGGAGTTTGGAAATTAATCATGGACTAGGAAAAATGTAAGTTAAGCAACTTAGCTGATGAAAGTTTTATTGCAATGAGATATTAAATAAAATGCAGTTAGAAATACTGATACTGGAGCTAAAACCAAATTATTAATGCTTTTTATTTATTTACGTGTGAATTTTTTCTATTAAAACTGAATTTTGTGAAGTTATATCTTGAAAAAAAAAAACAACTGGCATGATGTGATATAAAACGTATCACCTTGGTAGTGAGACACTGCGTGGTCACACAAACATACGTCTACTGTAGGCGTCTCATTTCACAGCTGTTTATGCAGCCGACAGGAGCGACCTACAGCCTACGTAGACTGCAGCCAATGTGGGCCGCAGTCTACRTTGGCTGCAACCCATGAATTGAGTCACAGCCATTAAATGGGAGGGTCCCAAAGGTTGAACTTTGGGGGACCCCGCATGTAATTCTTCTCAACTTTGATGAAAAGGTATGTGTTGACACAAAGAAGTCCCTGTCTTTTCAAGAGTAACTAAACCCAAAATCAACTTCAAATTGTCTAAATTGTGCCTTAAGGATATTTATCTTTATATTTCTGTAGAAATGTTGACATTTTCATGTAAATTTGATTAACTCAGCATCTATATTTTGTCTAAAACAGTCTTAGTGCTGCCCTCTATGGGTTGAATGGTGACTACTGCAGTTGAATTTTCCTATTGGTTAGAACGATGTGCACAAGTTACTTGGTAGTCTACATGCTTATGTCACAGCTCCTGTGTTTGGGTACAAAAGCCTCAGGAGTTGTAACAGCTTTGAACATTAGTCCATGTTAGCAATGATGCTGCTAACATCACTTTAACACTCAGAAACTGGACCCATTCTGTCCTCCATTGCCTTGGCAGCACTGGTCTCATGCACGCTGATTCAGCAACTTGAGCCAGCAGCTCGATCTGATAAGGTTCACCTCACATGTATGCTAAAGAAATTATGCAGACAGAAGCAGGAAATGAGCCATGGGTCAATATTTCTTTAAACTAACTACAAAGTTCCTGTTCAATGTCATCCTCAATATCCCGTTGTATATCAGTTTGTTGATGTTTAATCCCGTGGGGTATAATTTTGTTATTAAGCCACATTAACCTGAAGCTTGCAATTCAGCAAATGGCTAATAGGCCATTCCATCTAATGTTTCACTACCTTGAGCATCTTTAATCTGCATCATCAAACCTGTACTGGATTATTCTACACKTWTAGCAGAATATTTTAAACCAAGTTTGTGATTTGAGAAACCTTTATTTGATTTGTGAAACTTCAATAAAGACAGTTTTCAGTACATTTCTGGACCATACTAGGCCTGTTTTCAGAAATGTTAGCTTGTCAAATTAAGCTTGATGTTCTCTTGTCCTGACCACACCTCCTCACTCAACTCTACACTTGGCYGAGGCCTTCTGTGTCTCTTGGCACCGCCCACTTTGTTGGTATTTTTCAAATTTGCCTGGAGGTGGGGTTATGCTATACGTTCACACCAAATGCGTTTTGAGCATCTAAAACGCGCCCAACACCTCAAGTTAGACGCGTTACATTCAGACCGGAACGAGACTAGACGCACGTCTGAAGATGGTTTTATGGGAGGAGCGTCTTGTTTTTTTGTTTTTTTYCCAGTCAATGGCGGATGAAATAAAAATGAAATAAAGAAAATAGCTTTGCTTTATTTCCTGAGAGCAAGCAAACTGCTCAAAATGTGTTCGGTGTGAACCCAGTTTTCACAGCTAGTCTGGTGCCAGAAAGTGTGACCCAGTTCTCCAGTAGCTCCAGTAAAATAACATGATCAACAGTGTTGAATGCTGCCCAGAGGTCAAATAATACCACCACTGTGATTCAGCATAAACACTGACTGTGGGAGATATTTCTTAAAATGTATTTAAAACTAATAAAAGCACTGTAGGTTTTTACATAATTTGGAGCATTTTACCAAATGATGTCTTAAATGATACAATCTGAAGTGTGTGACTGCTTCCATCGACAAACAAGATCTAATACATCTAAAACTGACAAGGTTAAAAATAATATTTGTGACTTTTTTATTGTTTCCTATAATTGATGTTTGAATAAAAACAGACTCCAAGATACTTAAATTCAATTACAATCCCACTTTGTTTATCCTTGATATAAATGTTTGCTGTGAAATGTGGCAGTCAGTGTTTTTCACCTGCATCCTCCTGATTGGCTGACACCTGATGGAGCTCACCTGCAGCAGGCTTCCTTGATGAGCGTCTGGGGTTTATTAGGCAGCACTGAAGAGCTGGTCTTCTCCAGAGCAACACATACCCGATGGTATATGTCCTGCTTGTTTAAACTTAAACATAATCTTGAGTTACTCACCTGTGTTTTCTCCATGTTCAGTTACTTCAAATACTTAC